TTGGGTTTTATTTACCTACATGCGTTCTTGGATCAGCTGAAATGCTGGGGTCAGAAGAAAAGATGGAAACAATGGGTATCTTTTCCATACTTAAAAGGTGACTTATAAGAAAGATGAGGACAAACCTTTTAGTAGGGTCTGTTCCAATAGGACATGTGGTAGTGATTTTAAAGTAAAAGAGGGGAGACTTAAACTAGGTATGAGGAAGAAATTGTTTCGATGAGGGTGATGAGACACTGGAACACATTGCCCAGAGAGGTGGTAGATGCCCCATCCCTGGAAACATTCAAAGTTAGGTTGGACTGGGCTCTGAGCAACCTGATCAGTTGGAGATGTCCCTGCTCATTGCAGAGCAATTTGGGCTAGATGACCTATGAGCGTCCCTTCCAGACCAAACTATTCTATGATATTTCGTGGTTTGCTTTTCTTTTCCTTTGCTGGCATCTGAGGCACAAGTGTTTCCTTCAGTGTTTCCCATCATCCTGTCCCAAGTTGGAGCACCTGCCAGCAGATTCCCTCCGAGGAGGACCATTCAAGGAATTGCCACCCCAAGAAAGGGAATTTTTCAGTCCAACAAGAAGTTGCACAGAAGACATCTACTTTGCCAATGAAAAACTGAAGGTTTCAAGAACGGAAAAACCGCAACCCCAAAACTGCCAAAACCAAACAGCCTTTTGTCCAAACCCAGAACTTCTTTAGCCAAAAAAATACTGAGAATTTTGCTCTCATTTTTGCCAGAACTCAAAAATGCCCGTACTAATTTGTATTACTTGCTTTTATTTAGCTGGTTTCAATCAAAGCCCGAAATCTTCTGCACAAACCAATTCAAAGCAGCTCTCCTGTTATAGAAACTGCAGCATCTTCTGGTGCATTGTTCAGATTAACATGAAGGGGTCTAAACACACTGAAGGGGTGAAGCTGAGCAAAGGAAACACTTGCCGCATACTCTTCAGTGCTTTAACATTTGTCCTTGACCTTTTAACACAGCAGTAAAGGAAGGAAGCAGAAGGGACAGTTTGCCATTAGTGTTGCTTTATACTGAAGCTAATTCTCCAACATTCATGACCAGCACCAACACTGAACTTGTCTAAGGCTGGGCGTTGCTGTGCCACAAAGCTAGATACTCAGCAAAACCAACAGCTTGCTATTCTTCCCGCAAAGTACTTGTAACACTCTGCTTTATACCAGAAGGACAGTGTTTCACTTGCAAAATTAAGAAATGCCAGATTTACCTTGGTATGAGCAACTTTAATCTTTTCCTTTCTGATTCAACCCTCTGACACAGGGAATGAAGCCAGGTTTGCCCTTGCCTGTGCAGCAGAGGACAGATAACTTCATCTTACAAGAGATGCCATACCAGGGAGATCAAAAGAGGCACAGAAGAACAGGTGAGAGTCAGCACTGAGCAGGCAGGCTATGCCTATGCCAATAAATTAAAAAGCATGAAGCACATTTCTGCCTCCCACCAGGCCAAGGGGCGCTGCGTGGCTCACATACAGACTGCTAATAGCCACTGCCTCCCCTCAAGAGCGTACCTGTAACCATGCCATCAAGTGCTTGGCCGTGGGTTTCTGGGTTTCTCCTGGGCCTTATTTCCCCCCCCCCCCCCCCCCCCCCCCCCCCCCAAGATACAACTGTTAATTTTTCCTAATAACCCACTAGAGTGGTGTTTCTATAGCATAGGTCTGGGGGACATGGGGTTCTGTGCCTCTGGGAGCTTCTTCTCTGCTTCATGCCCAAAGATCCTGGAGCATGTGCTCAAAGCACCATGACCCAGAATCATCCTAAACTGTGCTAGATTACTGCTAGAGCCCAGGGAGGTGGGAGTTGCTTCCAGCCTGGCACCACTCACTGGGAGTGAGTGAATGAGCTGTCTGGCTGGGTTTAAACCAGGACAGTTTTTCTGGCACCCAACGTGGGGCACAAAGTGTTGAGATAACGACAGATCTGTCCGGATTAGTAGTCCCCCCCCCGCCCCGGGGGGCTCTCCCCTTCCCGTCTGCAAGAGGCATGGGGAGGAGAATCAAAAGAATGCAACTCCCATGGGTTGAGACAAGAACAGTCCAGCAACCAATGTACAACACAAATCACCACCGCTACCACCAATGACAACAATGATAAGAGACAATAACAATGGAAGAGAATATGATACCACCTGCCGAGAAATGAGTCTGACCCAGAAGACCCTGTGTCCTTCAGTGTAACTCCCAGTTACCTCCCACCCCGGGCATGACGTGCTGTGGTATGGAATACGTCTTTGGCTAGCTTGGGTCAGGTGTCCTGTCTCTGCTTCCTCCTGGCTTCCCCTCCTCCCTGGCAGAGCATGAGCCTCACAAAGTCCTTGGTCAGGGTAAACATTACTTAGCAACAACTGAAAACATCAGTGTTATCAGCACTGTTCCCAGGAGTAAAGTCAAAACGCAACACTGCACCAGCTACCAAGAAGGAGAAAAATTGACGGCTACTGCTAAACTCAGGACACCTTCTTATGTTGAGGACAACAGAACTGCACACAATACTCCAAGTGAGGTCTCACGAGAGCAGGGTAGAGGGGCAGGATCACCCCCTGTCCTGATTATTCCAATATAAAACCTAAATTAAATGCTCTACGAGTCAGTAGTATGAATAAAGTACCTTCAGATCAAGTGAAAACTCTCCCTATTGACCTAGCAAGATGACTATGCCATGTATGATTGTGGATAAATAACAGCATTGCCTCTTCGCCAGTACCTGACTCTGTACTCTGGGGTTTTGATTTATTAAGAGCAGGGGATGAAAAGTACTCTCGTAGGGTTTGTACATTACCTTCCTGGACTGGATCTCTGGGTGCTAGTGAAGCATAGCTGGGAAACTGCATGTCCTTGCAAGAGGCCCTCCAAGGCACAGGGCTGTCACTGGTGTCTGCATGTGCTGGTGTTTCAGCAGATGCAACTACTCTGTGAAATGTGGGATACAGACAAAAGCCAGAGTAGACACCACCTTCCCAAAATAAGTCAGAAAGGTAGATATAGTGCAAAAGCTAGTGAGATGCCTTCTAGGGGCAACTGGGAGTCATAGGAGACCCACAGCTGATTTGCCAGCAGAGCTGGACAGGATATTTTGTCAGGATATCTTTGGAAAGGAGGGAGGGAAAGGCTGCCTTCGCTGGCGGCCGCTGGGAAGAGCCCTGCCCTTACTGCAAGGCAGGAGGCAGAGCCCCAGAGAACAGGGAGCTGAGTGTATGGCCAGAGAGGGTGTCCTCAGTCCCTTCAAGCCAGTGCAGCATCTCTGAGGGAAGCCCCCCTCCTGCACGAAGCAGCTCCAGGGAAGATGGGGCACCTGTGAGCCAGGATGTCCCGAGGCCCTTTGTGCACTGCTCGGGAAAGGAGGGCAGGCAAGCCTTGCAGACAAGCCTGCTTCACTCCTCCTCAGTGCCAGCGGGAGGGCTTTCCCGGGGCTGTGATTCTGCTCTCCCAGTGACCCTGCGCTGCAGAAGCTGGAGCTGGACCACTGGGGCTTCTCCTTCAAGCCCCATTCCCCTGTCCTGTCCTTTGCAGCCCAGACCATGAGTATCTTTTTCCTAAGGGAGAAAGTTCCCTTCCCCACTAGTGGTGCAAGCTATGGAAGCATCGTTGGAAGAATGTTTGCAAGGAACGTACTCAAGTCCAACTGCACACATCCTTGTTTTATTATTTTTCCTAAAGTATCTCTAGGGCCTTCAGGTGGTGGTGTGGCTCGCCATCGTCCCATGAACCTGTACTCGGTACACACACGTGTACTCTGGATTTCCCCAGTTGCTCTGCACCTGGAATTTGATGTAACGAAAGGTCCCGGGAAGCTCCTTCTGTAAAAAAATGAGGGGACCCATCATTACACAGGTGGCCAGAGCCACAGCACATCACTGGGGCTCCTGACGAAAGGAGGAAGCAAGGGCAACCACTAGAGGAAACAAGGGAAACACTAGAGTGGTGTTTCTATAGCATAGGTCTGGGGGACATGGGATGTTGCATGCCCTGAGGTGGGGCAGGCACTGCAGGTGCTGACGGCACAATGCCAGTTGGGATGGTGTGCGAGGGCTGGGGGAACCTTACCGGACACTGGTTCATCTTTGGGGCTGGCTGTGAGCTGTCCTCAGGAGAGTCATCCCCACATTGTTCCCTGGGTGGTCAGGGCTGATGCTTAGTTTGATCCCTGGCCCTCTTTTATTTAGGTATGCAGGAGCACCCTCAGGGCTTGTGTACCTCCTCAAATGTCACTAAGCAGGGCTGTCCATAAGGCAAGACTACACTATAAACAGTAAAGTCTTCCCAACATCCAAATGTAAGAACCTCTGACCATGAAGGTTAGGTGGAGAACTGATTCAGAGCAGCCCCTGTAGATGCTATCTACATCAGCTATGTAGATGCTATCGTAAGTATTCTATGATTCTATGATTCTATTAATTCAGACATTGTTCTCACCTTGCTTGAGGCAGAGGGAGACCTTGAGTGGTGGCCCCTGCCCTCCCCACCATTTCCTCCCTGCAGCAGACACCTCAGCTGCAGTCCCCATGCATAAGAGGTGTCCCAAGGAGCAAGTTTCTGTACACCTCTGCCTGATGGCTGTGTTGACTCCAAGTGCCGTATCTCCTTTGACGTCCTAATTTTTCTACCTTCTCCATGGGACAGCCAAGCAGAGTGCGATGTAGAAATCTTTGGCAGAACAGTGAGTGTCCCTGTGTGTCCTCCCAGCATGATTGCTAGGCTCATGGGTCTCTTGGTAGGGCTCTTCCTCTACAGTGCAACTTTGAACTGATGTGTTTATACGACCTCCAGTTTCAGTACTACCCCAATGGCAATTAATCCTGGGATGTCTGCTTTGCATTGCACTGTATTTTCAACCCCATCCTGCTTCTTTGTAGCCACTGTTTAAACTCAGGCTAATTGTAATCCCAAAGCACTGCTGAAAAGCCAGCTTTTAAGACAGCTTCTGCACCCCCTTTTATCACTGCAGGGATGTCTTACTCCTAAGGCAATGCCTACCTAGATGGCTTTCAAAGATATAGCTCAAGAATCAAGAGATGACTTGATGAGACACTGGGAGAGTCTGCCCTCAAATAGTATGGTTTCAGTCTTCCATGCTACTCCAAACTTTGCAGCAGTTCCTCTGGTTTTCAGCGCAGGGCTGTGATAGCAGACCTGCTTCCCACATTCTGTCATCTCTGGCTAACACAAGTCCTGCAGATAACAACACATCAAGGGTCCCGGTCTCCCACGCAGCAGCCTTTACACCTTGACCCTCCCTTAGCACCCAGAAAAAGGGGAGATGGGCTTTGCAGCATGATCGGAAGGAGAATGTGTCTGGCCTCTGATGGCTCAAAGGAAAGGGGGAGGGGGGGATGAATGTATCCCTAGAATGAATGGCCTCCATGCACAGCCTCATTTGCAGCACTGTTATGGTTCTGAATGTTCCTGTGCCAAAAAAAAAAAAGAGGCTCCTTCGGTTATTGATATTTCTGCATGACATTTATTTTCTTTATACTGTTATGCAACCCTTCATCAACAGGTGTGGTCACAACATTTAGGGTCCCACGCTAACAGGAGTGCGAGCCCAGTAGTTTTTATCCCTGTTAAATATCAAAGAGGGATGTGAAATGCTATCTGTTTTTAAAGGACATTTGTTGAAATCTATTTTTGTGGCTGCTAAAAATACATATTTATTGTGTGGCTAGGAAAGAACTTCTTGGTCTGGCTTAGCAGCTGCTCAAAGTGATGTGTAAATGTGCTTTCAGCCTCAGGTACAAAGCAGGGCCCCTTGGTCTTTGGTTTGACCATGCAGAAGTCACTAGTGAAAGAGCTCCTGGCAAGTCTGGTGTACAGCTATGGCATTTTCCTTCCCAGTGAGTTGTTTCAGCTACTGGAAAGGAGTTCCTGCTGCCAGGTGGATACTACAGTCACCAGTATGCCCTCCTATGCAAGATAAACACCTCCTGTGTAAGACAGGTGCAAACACACTGGAAAAAGTCAGGCAGCAAAGCCGGCTTATCCAGACTCCGGACTGAGGCAGGTGTGTGGGCAAGGAAAACAGGAGTTCATGGCTTCAGGAGTTAAAAAGAATATCCTCATCTGACATGCAAAGTGACCCTCCCATGGAAACACAGATAAACAGAGATTCCATGAGAGTCTCTACAGCGATAATGCCCTCATGAAGCAGCTGAGAAGGGCTCTCTTTGATGTAGTTCATGTACTGTCCCAGACCAGGCTCTCCTGAGAATGGGAGTTCCCAGTTACTCCCAGTTACCCCTAGAAGGGTTCTCAGTTGCCTTTCGGACGTCCCAGTTACCCCAATTACTGTAGTAGTCCAGGGGTAACTACAGGTTCTTGAGGGGTTCTCAGTTACTGCCTGTTCCCCTGATGGGCATGGGGTTGCACTTGAGGTTCCCAGTAACCCCCAGCAGAGTTCTTTTTGTGCTCAGGGGTTCCCAGTTACTCCCAGAAGGGGTTTTGGTAGCCTTTTGGGGTTCTCAGTTACTCCCATTTCTGAAAAGCCCTCGGGTTGCCCCAGAAGGGTTCTCGGTTGCCTTTGAGGGTTCCCAGTGGTTCCCAGAATTGTTCTGGGTTGCCCTAAGGGGTTCCAAGGTAGCCCCAGCAGGGTTCTGTCTTACCCTCAGGGTTCCCAGTTACTCCCAATTGCCCCCAGGGTGTGTTCCTCCCAGGCGTCCAGGGCAGTGCCCCTGAGGTTGCCATGGGCACCAGCAGTTCTCTCTTGTGAGATCATAAAGCTGCCCCTTAGAAAAGCGCCCCACGCGGCAGTGGGGACAGTGCGAAGCAGCGCTTTCAGCAGCTAGCAACGCATAGCGAAGAGGTGCTGGGATCTCGTGAGGAGAGAGGGCTTTTCCCAGTGCCCGGACAGTGTGCTCAGTCTGCAGAGATGCCAGCCAGGTTGGGCAGCTGGGAGCAAGGGGGCCCAGAGAGCAGGGAGGGATCGTGCCACAAGCCTTGTGTGCTGCCTGGCTTCCCGGCAGCAGCAGCAGCAGCCCCAGAGCATGGGGTCTGTCTGCCCCCGCTGCCCTGCAGCACAGCAACCCCATTCCCGGGGACACAGCCCTGACCCTTCTCTGGGGAGAGCCAAGCAGGGCCAGGCTGTTGTCCCTGTGTCAGGCCCAGAGGTCTTTGTGTCCCAGACCTTCTCAACGACCTGCAGGTCTTGGGCCCTCAGGCTTGCAGCTGTGCTGGGCACACATGGAATGTGGTAGCCCAGCGAGCTCCTAAATGGATCCCTGGCAAATAGGTTGTTCCAACCCTGGGCTTTGGCAACAACAGCGCTCCCTCTCTTTTAGACAACTTAACACCTGCCAGAAGGACAGAGGGGGCCTGAGGCTCCTTTTCCGGCTGCTTCCCATCCTGTTCAGTGAGTATCCCTGACCAAAAATGGTTCCCTCAGCCCTGGGAAGAGGGACCAGCTCGTGAAGAAAATAATCATCTCTTGACAATGTGACTCACAGCTCTTGGCTACTGGTGCGGTGCGACGATGTGGCTCAAGGATGTGTTGTGGGTAAGCGCCTCTTGCTGTGGGGAAGTCAGCATCTGCAAAGGCCATGGCTCTGCCTCCTGCCTTCCCTGAGAACATGGGGCGCCTGGCCAGAAATACCCATCACCACTGGGGCGGTGTTGGGGGGAGGCACCTGTGCTCATCCTCCAGTCTCCTCAGTGGCTTGATGGGGTTCAGAGTGGGGCTCCTCCTCAGTGACCTCCACAGGGTGGCAGGCTGAAGAGGGGAGCACTGTGCCAGAAGGTGCCTTTGCTGCTTGCATACCTCTTGGAGGGCTGTGGGGTTCAGATGGAGACCCAAAAGCTTCTCTGCTGAACGTGGCTGGTTAGGGAGCCCAACCTTTGGGTCAGGGTTTCTCCAGTGACTCAAAGCAGCAGGATGTTCTTCCAGCTCTACCTAGGGTAGTCTCCCTTTGGGAAGCCCTGGCAGTGATCCTCACGCTTATGCGGTATGTTAATTTTGCAGACGTCCAGGCCTCACGGAGCTGAGCAGGAACTACTGGGGTAAGAGTGCTTTCTTCCTAAGGGGCACACCCTGTGGAGCTGTCTCAGACGGCCTCGTGCTGCCTGCCCTTGCCTTGTGTCCAGGGATCTTGATCCTCCCTATGGGTGGTGGAAGGGAGCCATCTGTAAGCCGGAGGAAGGAATGGGGCTGGGGGATGCGGGGTGACCCAAGCCCATGGGACTCTTCTCTGCATGGAGTTTGGAGCCTGCCCACAGGGGCTGGCAGCTGCTGGTCAAGACCTGCTTTTCCTTTGCTTCCAGCAATTCACAGGCCCAGGTGAATCAGGACTTCAAGCAGAAGGTGCCTCAGGTGTATGCTGCTAGGGGAAGAGTACTGAATATTGTGAGAGAGGTCCTCAAAGACCATGCTGTCCAAGAGGAGCAAATAGAGGTAAATCTGCTGGGGCTGGATCACAGACCTCGCTGCCTTTCTGGGCACCCTCCTGTTGCTTCCTCTCGGCACTCTCAAAGTCATCACTTTTTTCGACAGCTCTTGCCTAGGGTTGTCCGACACAGAGATGCTCCTCGGCTCTGTGCCAGGACTCGGTGTTCATGCAGAACTGCCCCATGTGCCTTTGTGTTCACTGCCATCTTGCCGTTCCCACTTTTTCCCCAGGAAATTCTGCAGTTGACAGAGGTGGCAATTAAGAAGGTGCTTGAGAACTATGTCCTGATGCCTGACTGGGCTCTGGAAGCCATAGGTATGTAGACAGAAAGTAATCCCTGCCATCCTTCTATGTATGGCACTGCCCCGGGCTCTGGCACTGCCCCGGGCTCTGCTAAGCTCTGCTTTCAAGCCTGAGAAATACATGGTAATGCACTGCTGCTCCTCCTAATCTCTGCGCTGTCTTAGTCAACTTCTGTCCACCTTCATGTCAGGTGCCAGCATCGATGAGGAGAGGACATCCAAGAGTTACGGTGGGGAAGGCATGATGACCTGGCTGCTTTCTCTATTCACCTTCTTATTTGCAAACCCTCCAGTGACAATCTTGCAGGTATGACAGGGGAAGGCCTGACCTGTGGTTCAGCTCTTTGCTTTCAGGTTGGCAGACCAAGTGCACAGCATTTACTGCTGATGGTCATGGCTTTCTGGTTTCAGCCCAGTGTTACCCCTGGCAACTGCTGGCCTTTCCACGGATCTCAGGGCCATGTGGTCATCCGGCTGCCTGTGCACATCTGGCCAACAGCTTTCACCGTCTGGCACATCTCCGAGGCAGTGTCTCCCTCTGGGAAGTCAGCAGCGCCCCCAGAGAGTTTACTGTCTTTGTAAGTCTTTGCCTTGTGCTTCTCAGGGGGGGCTGGCCCAAGAGAAAAGACATACCTGAGATGTGCTTCTTGTGGCACCTCCTCTCAGCAACCCCATCCCCTATGGGTATGTGGGGGTCCTGTGCCTCTGGGAGCTTTCTTCTCTGCTTCATGCCCAAAGATCCTGGAGCATGTGCTCAAAGCACCCTGACCCACAATCACCCTAAGCTGTGCTAGACTACTGCTGGAGCCCAGGGAGGTGGGGAAGGGTTCCTGGGTTCAGCCTCACCATGCCCTTTTCCTGGTGCCCTGCTGGAGCCTGACCCACTCCCTTTGTCTCTTTTGTCTCTTGTCTTCAAGGGAGTGGATGAGGCAACGGCAGAAACTCTCTTGGGAACATTTACCTACGACGTGCACAAGGGGATCGCTCAGACGTTCCATGTGCAGGTACTGCAAAAGCTGTGGCAGAATGCCTGGGAAGAAGGCAGGGTTGTCTGCAAGTCCCTGGAGGAAACAGTGCAGAGTATCACCCCAGCCAGCCCCTGCTCTCCCATGCTCCTCGCTCCTGTGGGGAGGATGGCAGAGGAGACCAAATGGGGCTTTGCTTTGCTGCCAGAGACAGCTGTCCCACCTTAAGGGCTTTCCTTTTTCTTCAGGCAGCACAGAGAAAGCAGCAGTGGGAAGGGGACCGGGAAGGGAAACAGTCCCACTAGAGCAGATGGTGGGAGTGAGGGAGGCAGACATCTTACCTTCAGTGAGACCCTCCTCACATCCCACGGCTGCCCAGTCAGCAGTGCTCCTCCGGTTCCCGATGCTCTGCTCAGCAAGGCTCCAGGGCCTTTGCTTTCCAAGCACAGAGGGCTCCTCCATGGCCCTTGCAAGGGGACATGTGGGTTGCCCTTGCTTCCTCCTTTCGTCAGCAGCCCCAGTGATGTGCTGTGGCTCTGGCCACCTGTGTAATGATGGGTCCCCTCATTTTTTACAGAAGGAGCTTCCCGGGACCTTTCGTTACATCAAATTCCAGGTGCAGAGCAACTGGGGAAATCCAGAGTACACGTGTGTGTACCGAGTACAGGTTCATGGGACGATGGCGAGCACACCACCACCTGAAGGCCCTAGAGATACTTTAGGAAAAATAATAAAACAAGGATGTGTGCAGTTGGACTTGAGTATGTTCCTTGCAAACATTCTTCCAACGATGGTTCCATAGCTTGCACCACTAGTGGGGAAGGGAACTTTCTCCCCTTAGGAAAAAGATACTCATGGTCTGGGCTGCAAAGGACAGGACAGGGGAATGGGGCTTGAAGGAGAAGCCCCAGTGGTCCAGCTCCAGCTTCTGCAGCGCAGGGTCTCTGGGAGAGCAGAATCACAGCCCCGGAAAGCCCTCCCGCTGGCACTGAGGAGGAGTGAAGCAGGCTCGTCTGCAAGGCTTGCCTGCCCCTCCTTTCCCGAGCAGTGCACAAAGGGCCTCGGGACATCCTGGCTCACAGGTGCCCCATCTTCCCTGGAGCTGCTTCGTGCAGGAGGGGGGCTTCCCTCAGAGATGCTGCACTGGCTGGCCTCCTGCTGGCTCGGCAAGGTGATGAACGGGGGAGCCCTTCTTCAGGCAGGTCACACCTATGTGCAGTGCATGGCTGAGCAGAGAGACCCACAGCTTGAAGGGACTGAGGACACCCTCTCTGGCCATACACTCAGCTCCCTGTTCTCTGGGCTCTGCCTCCTGCCTTGCCCCCCCTCCCCCTTTCCTTTGAGCCATCAGAGGCCAGACACATTCTCCTTCCGATCATGCTGCAAAGCCCATCTCCCCTTTTTCTGGGTGCTAAGGAGGGTCAAGGTGTAAAGGCTGCTGCGTGGGAGACCGGGACCCTTGATGTGTTGTTATCTGCAGGACTTGTGTTAGCCCAGAGATGACAGAATGTGGGAAGCAGGTCTGCTATCACAGCCCTGCGCTGAAAACCAGAGGAACTGCTGCAAAGTTTGGAGTAGCATGGAAGACTGAAACCATACTATTTGAGGGCAGACTCTCCCAGTGTCTCATCAAGTCATCTCTTGATTCTTGAGCTATATCTTTGAAAGCCATCTAGGTAGGCATTGCCTTAGGAGTAAGACATCCTGCAGTGATAAAAGGGGGTGCAGAAGCTGTCTTAAAAGCTGGCTTTTCAGCAGTGCTTTGGGATTACAATTAGCCTGAGTTTAACAGTGGCTACAAAGAAGCAGGATGGGGTTGAAAATACAGTGCAATGCAAAGCAGACATCCCAGGATTAATTGCCATTGGGGTAGTACTGAAACTGGAGGTCGTATAAACACATCAGTTCAAAGTTGCACTGTAGAGGAAGAGCCCTACCAAGAGACCCATGAGCTAGCATCATGCTGGGAGGACACACAGGGACACTCACTGTTCTGCCAAAGATTTTCTACATCGCACTCTGCTTGGCTGTCCCATGGAGAAGGTAGAAAATTAGGACGTCAAAGGAGATACGGCACTTGGAGTCAACACAGCCATCAGGCAGAGGTGTACAGAAACTTGCTCCTTGGGACACCTCTTATGCATGGGGACTGCAGCTGAGGTGTCTGCTGCAGGGAGGAAATGGTGGGGAGGGCAGGGGCCACCACTCAAGGTCTCCCTCTGCCTCAAGCAAGGTGAGAACAATGTCTGAATTAATAGAATCATAGAATCATAGAATACTTACGATAGCATCTACATAGCTGATGTAGATAGCATCTACAGGGCTGCTCTGAATCAGTTCTCCACCTAACCTTCATGGTCAGAGGTTCTTACATTTGGATGTTGGAAGACTTTTACTGTTTATAGTGTAGTCTTGCCTTATGGACAGCCCTGCTTAGTGACATTTGAGGAGGTACACAAGCCCTGAGGGTGCTCCTGCATACCTAAATAAAAGAGGGCCAGGGATCAAACTAAGCATCAGCCCTGACCACCCAGGGAACAATGTGGGGATGACTCTCCTGAGGACAGCTCACAGCCAGCCCCAAAGATGAACCAGTGTCCGGTAAGGTTCCCCCCAGCCCTCATCCCAACTGGCATTGTGCCGTCAGCACCTGCAGTGCCTGCCCCACCTCAGGGCATGCAACATCCCATGTCCCCCAGACCTATGCTATAGAAACACCACTCTAGTGTTTCCCTTGTTTCCTCTAGTGGTTGCCCTTGCTTCCTCCTTTCGTCAGGAGCCCCAGTGATGTGCTGTGGCTCTGGCCACCTGTGTAATGATGGGTCCCCTCATTTTTTTACAGAAGGAG